TGCTCTCATGAATAATTAAGCAGCCGACTCTTCTCATAGGATAAGAAAACTCCGCTATGAATAATAATGAGAAACCGACGCGTCATCATTGCACTTGCAGTACTGCGCTACGTCGCCGATTTTGATCCTGCCCCAAAGATCATTTTAAACCCGGAAGCTGAAATTAGCTGACAAAAGCTCAAAATTATCCAGTTTTCCCCACAATTAAAGCTGACAGGTGCTAACATTGTCTTAACTGATGCTCAACACACACACATCTGTTAATATAAAAAAAAGTTCTCTAGGGTGTCCTGAATCTTTAAGGACAAAATTATTAGCCCTTTAAAGCTATATATTTTTTTTCGATAGTCTACAAAACAAACCATCGTTACTCTAACCTGCCTGATCTGTTCAGCAAAATATTTTACTGTTTGTCACTGCATCCCAAATTACTAAAGTAATATAACTAAGAGAATTTCGACTGTGCTGAGCGAGAGCACTTCTTTCTGAACAGCGCATAATGGATGACATAAGCGTGCTCAAACGCAAGTGTAAAGTGAGTGTGGGCTGTCAGGGGAGACGGGAAGGGGACAAGCGTGCTTTGGCCTGGTTCAAGGCAACTGTACATAGTGTGAGTATGACTTAAATGTCACTTTAAGTTTTATAGAAGTGTCTTGAAAAATATGTAGTAAAATATTATTTACTGTCATCATGGCAAAGATAAAATAAAATCAGTTATTAGAGATTAGTTATTAAAACTATTATGTTTAGAAATGTATTGAAAATAATCTTCTCTGTTAAACAGAAATTGGGGAAAAAAAAAACAGGGTGGCTAATAATTCAGGGGGACTAATAATTCTGACTTTAACTATAAATATATATAACTGTCTTATAAGTTTCTTTTCTAAATGTTTGAATCAAACAAAATCAACCTTTTTTTGTCCAGGTTGCTTAAGCTAATGCGCATGTGCACTCAAAAGGAACGAGATCACGTCACCAACCTAATTTAGGACCGTTCTACACATTATCATCCTCTGATAAATGCTTTGTCAGATCACGCTGCTCATCTGAAGTAAATCACAACTTGGTCTTAATGGTGAATCTTCTTCAGAAATGACAGCAACTCTTTGTGTACAAGTTTGTGGGCGTTTAAGTAGTTGCTGTGACGTGAAGTACGTTTGACAGGATGGACTGTACCTCACATTCGTTTCATACAAATTACAAAACCAAAAAGCTTTTTTTTTTCAAGTGTAGTGGGTTCATTTAAAATGACAGATTTTAAGCTTTATGTGGATATATTTCTTACTGTATGTCTGTGACGCATTTATTCACTGAGATTCCAGTGTGTTTGTTGACCATAAAAAAAACTTTGTTAAAGCCCACGTATGGTCTGAGCTTTTCCAGACGTTATAGGAAACATTATAGGAAATACTGTAAAAATTTCCTTGCTCTGTTAAACATAATTTGGGAAATAATTGAAAAAGGAAAAAAAATCACATGAAGGCTAATAATTTTGATTTCAACTGTATAAATGTATACAGTGGTTGTAAATTGTGATAATATTGTAAATATAAATATTTTAAATATTAAATAATAAATGTAACATTTATTATTAATTGTCTAAGCCTTTCTGTAACCTGAAAATAGACTTGACTGCAAGCAGGTTTGGTAGCAGTTTTCACACTGAACAAAAACTATACCACTAGAGTTAGTTTTAAAGTATTTTTTTTTTATTCTTTTGGTCATGCCTTATCCCCCTTAGGGCAGCAAGTAAGCAGAACTGCCACCAGTTTCTCTTAAAAGATACAGGTGGATGACGCCACCGCATGTAACACTGCAAAGAACTAATAGTGCTAAAATTGTCCACATTTTCTGGAAGCAAAATATAATTTATTTTCTTTTTTACTTTGTATTTTGTGTGGAAAAATCCATGAATGATCTCTTTTTACTCATGTGAATACTTTGCATACGCATTTTTTGTATCTTAATGTACTTTCATTGAGAATGAACAGAGGGTTACTTCATCCCAAAATGAAAATGAATTTACTCACAGTCAATTCTTTCCAAACCTATACTACTTTAGAACACAAACATAATCTTCAGAACACAAATTAAGATAATTCACTCAGATGTATAACATTTTTTGTCCCTCGATTGTCTGATTTTCTTAAAACTCTGGTACTTGAAAATGTATGAAGGCTTTAAAAAATAAATACATGTACATTACATATATAAATATATATTCTTGGCAGATGTAATTTCTACTTTTATACACATATAAACACAAAAACTCCAAATAAAAATATAATATCAAACTCAACAATACCTATTTGATGAACTAGAACAAACAGCACTGGTGCCTATGGAATCTCAAATGTGACTTGCAAGAAAAAAATTAATTCATTCTCATGCATCAACCATGTTTAAGCACTTGTGATCATTGTTTTCCTAAAACCTTTCCGGTCACATTAAAAGAGATGCAATTGTTTTTTTTTCTCTGACTGTCTGATTGTGTTTCTTCATATAACTACAAAAGCATTGATTTGCAAAGTTCTAAACTTTTGCCTAGTTATAATGACACTTTGCAGTGCAATATTTGACCAAATGGGTAAAAATATTTTTTCATCAGTTGATACACATTACATCTGCACACTTTAAATCAGTCACACAGAGACAGAGAAAGAGAGAAAGAGGATTCAATTATAACGTTATATTATTAGATTAAGAGTTATATAATATTAAGAGTTTATTAATATTGATATTTTTGAGCATGTTGCCAAAGTCAGCACGGTGATTCAGTAGTTAGCACTGTTGCCTCACAGCAAGAAGGTCACTGGTTTGAGTCCCAGCTGGGCCAGTTGGCATTTCTGTGTGGAGTTTGCATGTTCTTCTCGTGCTCGTGTGAGTTTCCTCCAGGTGCTCCAGTTTCCCCCAACAGCCTAAAGAATAAATCACTCCAGTTGCAGTTTTCTGCCACAATTATTCATGCAAGGAACCATTTCTTTTTGAAACTTTTAAACACTCACATACATCATATCAGCTGTGAGCGCGACGCTGAAGCCCTCGTAAGGGAGTGAGAATCGCCTGTGTCTTATTTGCTATATAGCCAGAAGTCAACCTGTTTTTCTTTAGCTCACGCGAACACAGGTATTTTTGTTTTTGTCTTTTCTCACGCTGACCCCCTAAACTCTGCTTTTTAAGAAAATTACGATTAAAAAAATGACTTTAACCAGCCAAAGGGGCTATTGGGTGTGTCTTGTCTGATCCGCCACAATTGAAATCTACCTGCATTTGGCGGGTTGGCCAGTGTTAATGTCAAGCCCTGTGTGTAAGCCATCACAAGCACTGCCTCAACATGTTGGTTGCCCAAACATGTCACAGAGTGAGTGTGACCATCTCCTGGGAGCAGGAAATACAGTGCATCCGGAAAGTATTCATATCGCTTCACTGTTTTTCACATTTTTTATGTTACAGCCTTATTCCAAAATGGATTAAATTTATCTATTTTCTCAAAATTCTACATACAATACCCCATAACGACAATGTGATTTTTTTTTTTTATTGTTGCAAACTTATTAAAATGTAAAAAAAAAAAAAAAAAACATGTACATAAGTCACAGCCTTTGCTTAATACTTTTTTTGATGCACTTTGGCAGCAATTACAGCCTCAAATCGTTTTGTAATATGATGCCACAAGGTTGGCACACCTGTTTTTGAGATTTTTTGCCCATTCCTCTTTACCTCTCAAGCTCTATCAGGTTGGATGGGAAGCGATGGTGTACAGCCATTTTCAGATCTCTCCAGAGATGTTCAATAGAATTTAGGTCTGGACTCTGGCTGTGCCTCTCAAAGACATTCATCGAGTTGTTGTGAAGGCACTCCATGGATATTTTGAACCATCACCCCAGTCTGAGGTCAAGAGCATTCTGAAGCAGGTTTTCATCTTTCCCTCTATCCTGACTAGTCTTCCAGTTCCTGCTGCTGAACATCCCCACAGCATGATGCTGCCACCACCATGCTTCACTGTAGGGATGGTATTAGCCTGGTGATGAGCGGTGCATGGTGTTCTTCTAATGTAACGCCTGGCATTCACTCCAAAGAGTTCAATTTTAGTCTCATCAGACCAGAGAATTTAGTTTCTTATGGTCTGAGAGTCCTTCGGATGCCTTTTGGCAAATTCCATGAGAGAAGTGGTTGCACAGATGATTGTCCTTTTGTAAGGTTCTCCTTTCTCCACAGAAGAATGCTGGAGCTCAGATAAAGATACCATTGGGTTATTGATCACATCTCTGACTAAGGCCCTTCTCCCACGATTTCTCAGCTTAAATGGCCGGGCAGCTCTAGGAAGAGTGCTGGTGGTTCCAAACATCTTCCACTTTTGTAAGATGGAGGCTACTTTCAGGATGCACTGTACATGGTGTGAATCCTATTTTGAGACAGAAGCAAACAGCTGATTTGCTCTTTTAGTTGGAGACAATTTTTTATTTTTTTGTTGACCAGTTAAATGCCCAGGAGTTGAACAGGACTTAAACAACCGGCTTCGGCATGCACATATGAATGGCTGCTCTGAAGCGAGAATGAGTGACTGTCTATGAGCTGCTTAAATACCCATTGGTGTTGCCTCATTTGCAGATTCCATTCGCCAATTTTTTTTCTTTGCCTTTTTATACAAAACAATCCAAAAAAGTTATTGATTTCCTAAGAATCTGACAATCCATAACAAAATGTGTAGTCACCAACTAAAATAAAAGCACATATTTGTAAAAAGGCAAAAGTTATTTGGGGGCATGAATCGACACAAACTGAAAAGTTGTGCTTCGCTCTCTCCTATGTGTTGTAGTTTTGAAAAAAAAAGAAAAGATGTTTAAAAAGACACAATGTTGAGTAAATGATGACAATATTTTCATAACTGAATGATTTTATGGCCTGTCCATGGCTCTCCTTCCTTTATATATTATCAGCCATTTCTCCACAAATAAAACAAGTCTGCAGTGTTTTCAAGCTTTTGTTTGTTCTCTTACCTTGACCCCGTCTCTTGTCTTTGGCAGGGAGCAGGTTGCACTGCATTGGTTGTTGCTGTGGTTGCCAGAAAGCTGGAGCTGACGAAGGCAGAGAAACATGTGCATAACTTCATGATGGACACACAGCTCACCAAACGGGTAAACACGCACACACTTTACTAAATGGACAAAGCTTCATATTCAGAGAAGCATACTGTATACATGCTGCAATTTTCCTTTCAGGTCCTTTTCAATTTTTTATGCACTAGAAAGACTCAGAAATAGCTCCCCATATCAAATATGTAGGCATCATCACAGCCTACATCAGGCTGCTGATCAATAATTGCAATGCAGATTTAAAAAAGAAATCATTTTAGCTGTGGAGTGCTTCTTCAGATGAGCAGCTATAAGTAAATGCCTTCCTCGTGGAGGAGGAGGATGGGAAACAAGCCTGTTTTTTTTTTTTTAAAGGGTTATTACCTCATGCACAGTCTATTGCCTGAGCTTAACAGGCTGTCGGGGGACGAAAGAGAGATCAATAAATGCTGCGGTCGTCATCCTTTTACATTGAATTTGCAGCTACTATGGTTACAAAGCTTTAATAAAAGAGGAAAATCATGCTTGCAACTTTGACCTCATAAACCTGTTGCTGTGGAGACAGAAGTGGCCAAGAGTTTACCTTTATCTGGATGACAGGGGTGCAGGGTGTTCCTCTATCTTCCCGTCAGGTGGATCTGACAGTGGATGTGGATGGACAGACTTGTTTACCATGCAATGTCTTTAAATAGAAATGCTAATGTGCTCTTTCTAAGGTAGTCCAGCATTCTAATCTTGCTAGTGAGTTTTACACGTTTTTGTGAGTGGTAAACATATTCAGATGGCTTCTGTTTATAATTAGGCCAGTCTTCAAGAATAAATATGAGTTTGTTAGGGTTGTAAATGTTTCCTTTTATTGTTTAAAGGTTATTGTGTGATGAAGGCAGATAAAGATTAATAGATCTTTTTTATATAAATATACCTGTTTTGACTAGCAATGAGTCACATCTGAGTATAAGTAGCAGCGGGTCAAAATGGCAGTGTTGAGAGAAAAACATTAGTCACATGTATAAATCAAATCACAGAACTTCATTCAGAAATAGTGTAAGATAGGCTTCTAGCAGCCCTGGATAACACAAAAAAATGGGTCCTCTGGGTGCTCCGGTTTCCCCCACAGCCAAAGACATGCGGTATAGGTCAATTGGGTTAACAAAATTTACCGTCGTGTATGAGTGTGTGTGTGAAAATCAAAGTGTATGGCTATTTCCCTTTACTGGTTGCAGCTGGAAGGGTATCTGCTCCATAAAACAAGCTGGAGCAGTTGGCGGTTCATTCTGCTGTAGCGATCCCTGATAAATAAGGAACTAAGCAGAAGGATTATGAATGAATAATGAACCAGAAATTAAGGATGACGTCCTATAATGCTACCATAAAAAGAACAGAATGCTGGTGTTCCTGTTTTTCTTAGTTCTTGTCATAGACGTGTTTAAGAAACCCTAATTTAATATAACACACTTTAACACACTTAATGTGGATTACGTTACTACAGCTGTCATTTTGTAATGCATAATTAATAAATTAGGATAGGATAAGGTAGGGTAGGGTAGGATTGTTTATTCTTCCCTAAGGACATTTGTTTTACTATAAAGTCGCCTTTCCACGGCACACAATAGCACACAACTGTCGGAAAACACCCCGTTGTGGCAGTCGCACATAATTTTCAGTGTTGTGCAACATTGGAGAGAAGCTGATTCTCGTGCTGTCTGAAATAAAGTGCAAAAAGAGCCTTTGTTCTCCTTGCATTCACCATGGTTGAATGAATGAATGAATACTAGAAACTCATAGACCGCTAAAAAGCTTGGAGAGAATGTGGAGACAACATAAAAATAATATTTTTTATTACTCGTGTATAAATTGAATTTTTTTAAAGACTTTTTCTGACTGAAAAAAAACAACAACTCTTATTTCTCATTTCACACACATGGACCTGCTTGGACAACACTGAAATACATCACACCTGGTGGGCCGGTTGCACACAGTCTAGTTGCATAAGTTCAAATATTTTTAACCTATCCGCTACTCACATCGAATCCGAATTTTCCGCATATGGAAATGATTGGAGCTACACCAGACTTCTCTCTATTGGAAATGAATGACTTACTGTCTGTTGCTTGTTGATTGTCATATGCAGTGGAAAGGCAGCTCAAGGCTCAATCCCAATTCTACCCCTTAGACCCCCCACCACCTCCCCTTTACGCGTTCACATTAAGGTGTAGTGGTGTCCCAATTCTCTTTAGCTTGAAGGCTTATAGCTAACGGGAAGGGCTAGATGGCCCTTGAAACAGCGATTTTTTTTTTCAGGACCACACACGAAACAAAGGGGTAGGAAAATTTCCCAGAATACACTATCAACAACAGCAGCATGGCTACACACAGAAGTAAAAAGATGCACAAATTAGTATTTTTTGTCATTATTCTCAATTTTTTGCTATACAAGCATACGTTATGTTTTAATACGTTCATATAGGCATTTGTGTTTTACCGTCATGGTTAAAAAAACGCTAAAATAAAAAAGCTAAAATCTATAATCCATTATAATAACTCATGTATAGCAGTTCCACAACATACTTTCACCTGTGACACTCAATGACATTGGAATACCCTGTCAGAAAAGTCTGGTGACCAGGAATAAGCTTTTTGTCAGGAATTATGTTAATATTGTTTTCTTGTGTTTACGAAAATGAATATGGCCATGGTGTAAATGCACAGTGAACCTGCAATATTTTTGCCACATTATAGAGTTATGAAAACATAATATATGCCTTCAGTGATTTCCTGAAAATAAATACCAAAAAACAAAAGGAACTGGAGTAACTACAGCAGTCGCGATCATTGATCGTATGAAGCAAGAGATTGCGATGACATGATGACGTGTACAGGTGTTGTAGTGGCGTGCCATTTTTTAGGGGTAAATTTTGAAGCCCTTCCCCTTTACACTCTGTTTCAAGGGCCAATGAGAAAGGGAAGGAGTACAAAAAGTAGGGGTACAAAAATATAATTGGGATTGGGCCTAAGTTTCTTTGCAAATAGGTCATCATATTCTTCTATTCAGTTATAAAATCAAAGGTCTTATGAATGAGTCATAAGATTCAGTGTAAACTATCAATAAAACAGCACTACAGTGTTATTGAATGTACTATGATAGCAGTATATCTTATACACTTGTGTTTTTTTTCTTATAGTAATGTTTGATTTCATAGTTGTAGACTGACATCAGCAAATCTTGGCAGCTGATATTATGATAAGGCTTAAGTTTACCTCATAGTCAACAATGATGGTCTCTCTACATCCACCTGAAGCTGCTGCGACCTCTGACAGACTCACTGTCAGCCTCTGAGCGATTGTATGGCACCTAGTAATGATTAAATAAGTGAACAGTATGAAGAGGAATGTTTGATTAAAGCAGAGGTTCTCAACCAGGGATCAGGGGCTCTTTTTAGAGCATCTGCGCACTTGCAAGAGGTCCTCAAGGTTAATACCTTTTATAATAAGCTAAATAAATATTAAAATAAGCTTAAACCTATGAATGTAACTTCAGAACATGGATTTTTTTATGAATGTACTTAATAATAATATTAATAATTATTGTTGTTCCTATTAAAATTAAAAACTGAACAATTCACGGGGCCTTTGATTATTTTATTTTATTTTTTTTTTTTTTTTTTGAAGGGGCTTGCCAAAAGGTTGGCTAGAAATGTATGGGTAAATGAGTGGATAGAGAAACAAATAAAACAAGCAGCGATGAAAGGGATCTGCCCACTGCCCGGCGACCCTAGGATGACATATAATAATTTAAGCTAATATATATAAAAAAATTTAGAAAAATCACAGATTTATGCCTTCTGTCAGCAGGTGGCGCTATGACTGTTACTTAATTTTGGCATGTAGAAGTCTTTAGGAGAGGAATCTCATCAAACCTGTGAATTTTCGGCAGATAAGATATTGTTTGGTTGAGTTATAAGTACTTACTCCTCCATGGCGATATACTAAACTTTGTTAGATCTTCACAATTTAACATCACAGCAGCCTTTGGATTATACTGGCAAAACTTGGATTCGATGTGATCAAATTTGTAGGAGGAGTATTTTACAATGTGAAACATGTCACTTTCTGTTGCCAGCAGGTGGCGCTTTAACTCTAACTAGATATTGACATGTAAACATGTTTAGGTAAGGACTGTTATCAAACGTGTAGATTTTGAGGCAGATCAGACAATGCATACCTGAGTTATAACAACTTTCTGTTTTGTGGCGAAGCATCAAAGTTTGTGAGGCTGCCACAGACACACATTTTTCGACGAAACTCTAGATCTTCAGAAGTTCTTTAGATGACATTACCCAATTTCAGTGTTGATTGGATAAAATCTGTAGAAGAATTCTTGTTGGGTTTGAGATTTCACTCCAAGAGACTTTTTTTGTTGGTATTACCATATTTTCGTACGTGTGCGTGAATCGTAACTTGGGGGCCAGTCTGTCAAAAGTGCATAGATGGCGCTGTCGAGTCATTTTGCCACACCCACTTCTGAAAAACTTAAATTTTTACTAGTGTGGTGCAAAGTTTTGTGAGTTTTTGATCATATTTTGACTCTCAAAATCATGATTCATTCTAGATAAAAAGAAGAAGAAACTGAGCAATTCCACTGGGGCCTTTCGGTGCTCGGTCCCTAAAGATTTGTTGGTAATTACTTAGTTTCCTAAAAGAATGACTTGATCCAGGCAATTTAATTTTTTTCTCTTTTAGACTGTACACTCAATTTAATATTTCTTGAGTTACTTGTGGTACCAAGATGATTTACTGATTAAATTTATAAATATAAATGCAGTGCCAATCTCCCAAATGATTAGAAACAGTCCTTTCCATGTCTATAGTAGCCGGTGGACTCTCATATAGTGTTGAACATTAAGGATATACAAAGTAGCTATTCTGAACAGTATTCTTAGTTTTAGTATTGTTGTTTATAATCACTATAATACTGCTTCAGTGTCATTCCAGAAGACTCGAGCATCCCTACCTAAATTATATCTGCTATCATTATTCTCGCTCTCTCACTTTTTAACTTGCCC